ACGTAAGTATATTATTTCTATACGTTATTACACACATTATTATTATTATTATTATTATCTTTATTCGTGTACTTGTTGAAGTTTTGTAAACCTCTATTCCAGGTGTACTCTACGCGATTCCTCGGGGGGGGGGGTTAAATGGAGAATTCCGGAAAATCTGGGCCGTCCCACGTGGTGAGATCTCCTCTACGGTTTCTACTTCTTCGGATGTCCTCCATTGAGTGCCGAACGGATCCCAGTGAAGCTCCCACACGAAGATCGGATCCACTTCGGATCACCCTTTTCGTCCGCTTCTTCTTCGGATCCCTGGTGTTCTCCTTTCCGTCGGGGCGAAGACTTCTATTCTTCGGAGTTGTAGACCACGACGTCTTCGCCCGTTTCCTCCAAGAGTAGATGCTGGAATTCCGTTGGTGCCATTTCCGAAGAGTGTAGGCCGTCCCACGTCGTGCGATCTCCTGTTCGGTGTCTTCTTCTCTTGAATTCTCCAAAATCTTCTTTCTTCGAGTGTGATCTCCTGTACGGTGTCTTCTTCTCTTGAATTCTTCGAAATCTTCTTTAAATCTTCTTTCTTCGAGTGCGGTCTCCTGTACGGCGTCTTCTTCTCTTCAATTCTTCGAAATCTTCTTTAAATCTTCTTTCTTCGAGTGCGGTCTCCTGTACGGCGTCTTCTTCTCTTGAATTCTTCTTTAAATCTTCTTTCTTCGAGTGTGATCTCCTGTAGGGTGTCTTCTTCTTCTCTTGAATTCTCCAAAATCTTCTATAAATCTTCTTTCTTCCAGTGCGGTCTCCTGTACCGTTTCTTTTTCTTGTTTTAAATTCTCCAAAATTTTCTTCGAATTTTTCTCCATTGAGTGTCGAATGGATCCCAGTAAAGCTCCCACGATGATCGGAATAGTTTCCATTTCCAAATTTCTGTTCTTCAGCTCTTTTGCATGGACCTGCTGTCGTAAACGTGTTTCGAGTGTACCATTTCTTCGCCAGTTCATCCATTCCATTTTGTTGTGCTTTTTGAAGTATTCATTTTTTTCCAATATCGAACATTCGGAGATTTCGCACGTGTCATCTTGGCGGAATTTGAGAGTGATCTTCTTTTAGTTATGGATCCACAATCCCTGGTCTTGAGCAGTTGTAATAAACGCGTTCGTTTCAACCCTTAATTTTCCTCTTCTTATTAATATCTGAAGCGTTCACTTTTTTCCGTGTAGCTTTTTCTGCTCCCATTTGCCCTTTAATTTCTTCTGAGATTGTGAGCTCCGTGCTTATTTGAGAAGAACTCTTCTTTTCGTGATTTATTCCTAAGCTAAGATGAGGTGCTGCTGACGGGGGGGGGGATTCCAAATATTTTCCCTTGTAGGCTTCAATTCGACGTAGTCCTCTTCTCTCTTCTTTCCCACTAACGTTCTAAGCTTTAATATATATTTTTCTTTTCCAGGTACGTGATGTCTTCTTTCGTCTAGTCTACGAGTCCAAAGCTGTATTCTATCACTGGAACTGCTGACGTGCGTGATGACGTTTATCTTTTTTTTTCCATTTAGTTCCATGTAATTTGTAAATATAA